ATCATCATCACCACCATCATCAACATCATCACCATCATCATCACCATCACCACTATCACCACTATCACCACCATCATCATCATCACCACCATCATCAACATCACCACTATCACCACCACCACCACCATCATCATCATCACCACCATCATCAACATCATCACCACCACCACCATCATCATCACCACCACCATCAACATCATCACCACCATCATCATCACCACCATCATCAACATCACCATCATCAACATCATCACCACCACCACCATCATCACCACCATCATCACCACCATCATCAACATCACCACTATCACCATCACCACCATCACCACCACCATCATCATCACCACTACCATCTCCGTCTCTCACCACCTCCATCTCTCACCACCTCCATCTCTCACCAACCTCTCACCACCTCCATCTCTCACCACCTCCATCTCTCACCACCTCCATCTCTCACCTCCTCCATCTCTCACCTCCTCCATCTCTCACCACCTCCATCTCTCACCTCCATCTCTCACCACCTCCATCTCTCACCACCTCCATCTCTCACCACCTCCATCTCTCACCACCTCCATCTCTCACCACCTCCGTCTCTCACCACCTCCGTCTCTCACCACCTCCGTCTCTCACCACCTCCATCTCTCACCAACCCCTCTCACCACCTCCATCTCCTCCACAACCTCCTCCATCTCTCACCAACCTCTCTCACCACCTCCATCTCTCACATGCTCCATCTCTCACCACCTCCATCTCTCACCACCTCCATCTCTCACCTCCTCCATCTCTCACCACCTCCATCTCTCACCTCCTCCCCCTCTCACCACCTCCAACTCTCACCACCTCCATCTCTCACCACCTCCATCTCCTCCACAACCTCCTCCATATCTCACCAACCTCTCTCACCACCTCCATCTCTCACCACCTCCATCTCTCACCACCTCCATCTCCTCCACAACCTCCTCCATCTCTCACCACCTCCATCTCTCACCAACCTCTCTCACCACCTCCATCTCTCACCAACCCCTCTCACCACCTCCATCTCCTCCACAACCTCCTCCATCTCTCACCAACCTCTCTCACCACCTCCATCTCTCACCTGCTCCATCTCTCACCACCTCCATCTCTCACCACCTCCATCTCTCACCTCCTCCATCTCTCACCTCCACAACCTCCTCCACAACCTCCTCCATCTCTCACCAACCTCTCTCACCACCTCCATCTCTCACCTCCTCCATCTCTCACCTCCTCCATCTCCTCCACAACCTCCTCCATCTCTAACCAACCTCTCTCCACCAACCTCCTCCCCCCCCGTCCCACCACCCCCGTCTCCAGATCGTGATGTCGGAGCCCGGCAAGCTCTCGCAGAAGGTGAAGGTTTGGCTGCAGGAGTATTGGAACATCACGGACGCCGTGGCCATCACAGTGTTCGTGATGGGTGTCTCGCTGCGGCTTCAGGATCAGCCCTTCATGAGCTACGGCCGTGTCATCTACTGTGTGGACATCATCTTCTGGTACATTCGCCTGCTCGACATATTCGGCGTCAACAAGTACCTGGGGCCCTACGTCATGATGATCGGCAAGATGGTGAGAGCCGCTCGCTCGTTCGCTCGCTCGCTCGCTCGCTCACCCGCCTGCACACTCATTCACCCGCTCGCTCGCCCACTCACCTACACACTCACCCACTCGCTCGCTCACTCACCCACTCACTTGCTCGCTCACCTACACACTCGCTCACTCACTCACTCACTCACCCACTCGCTCGCTCACTCACCCACTCGCTCACTCACACACTCGCTCACTCACCCACCCACTCACCCGCTCGCTCACTCACTCACCTACACACTCACTCACCTACACACTCATCCAGTCGCTCGCCCACTCACCCACCCACTCACCCACTCACTCACCTACACAAGCATCCACTCACTCACTCACCTACTCACTCATCCACTCGCTCGCTCACTCACCCACGCACTCACCCACTCGCTCGCTCACCTACACACTCACCCACTCACCCACTGGCTCGCCCACTCACCCACTCACTCACTCACTCACCTACACAATCATCCACTCGCTCACCCACTCACCCACTCGCTCACTCGCTCACTCACCTACACACTCATCCACTCGCTAGCTCACTCATCCACTCGCTCGCTCACTCACCTACTCGCTCACTCACCTACACACTCACTCACCCACTCACTCACTCACCTACACACTCATCCACTCGCCCGCTCGCTCATCCACTCGCTCACTCACCCACGCACTCACCCACTTACCCACTCACTCACCCACTCACTCACTCACCTACACACTCATCCACTCGCTCGCTCACCCACGCACTCACCTACACACTCACTCGCTCACTCACTCACTCACCTACCCACTCACTCACCCACCCACTCACCCACTCACTCACCCACTCACTCACCCACTCACTCACTCACTCACCCACTCACTCACTCACCCACTCACTCACTCACCCACCCACTCACTCACTCACCCACTCACTCACCCACCCACCCACTCACTCACTCACTCACTCGCTCACTCACTCACTCACTCGCTCACTCACTCACTCACCCACTCACTCACTCACTTACTCACTCACTCACTCACCCACTCACTCACTCACTCACCCACTCACTCACTCACTCACTCGCTCGCTCGCTCACTCACTCACTCACTCACCCACCCACTCACTCACTCACCTACACAATCATCCACTCACTCACTCACTCGCTCGCTCACTCACTCACCCACTCACTCACTCACCTACACAATCATCCACTCACTCATTCACCTACACACTCATCCACTCGCTCGCTCACTCATCCACTCGCTCACTCACCCACTCACCTACACACTCACCCACTCACTCACCCACTCACCCACTCACTCACCCACTCACTCACTCACCCACTCACCCACTCACCCACTCACTCACTCACCCACCCACCCACTCACTCACTCACCCACCCACTCACCCACCCACCCACCCACCGACCCACCCACCCACCCACTTCTCTCCCCACCCACCACCCCTTCCACCCCCCTCCCTCACTAGATGATCGACATGCTGTACTTCGTCATCATCATGCTCGTGGTGCTGATGAGCTTCGGCGTGGCGAGACAGGCGATCCTGCACCCCGACGAGGAGCCGACATGGCGCCTGGCCAGGAACATATTTTATATGCCCTACTGGATGATCTACGGCGAGGTCTTCGCTGATCAGATTGACCGTAAGAGCAAAGTTCACAGTAAGAGCGGGGCCCGTTGGGTGGGTGTGTGGGTGAGTGGGTGGGTGGGTGGGTGAGTGGGTTGGGTGGGTGTGTGGGTGGGGTGGGTGGGTGAGTGGGTGGGTGTGTGGGGTGGGTGAGTGGGTGAGTGGGTGAGTGGGTGGGTGAGTGGGTGGGTGGGTGAGTGGGTGGGTGTGGGTGGGTGTGTAGGTGGGTGGGTAGATGAGTAGGTGGGTGAGTGAGTGTGTGAGTGGGTGTGTGGGTGGGTGAGTGGGTGTGTGGGTGGGTGAGTGGGTGGGTGGGTGGGTGTGGGTGGGTGTGTAGGTGGGTGGGTAGATGAGTAGGTGGGTGAGTGAGTGTGTGAGTGGGTGTGTGGGTGGGTGAGTAGGTATGTGGGTGGTTGGGTGGGTTGGTGGTGGGTGGGTGGGTGGTTGAGTAGGTGGGTGGGGAGTGGAAGTGGTGTCATCAGCAGCACCAACACCATCATCATCAGCACCACCATCATCAGCACCACCATCATCACCACCACCATCATCACCACCATCATCACCACCATCATCACCACCACCACCATCATCACCACCATCACCACCACCACCATCATCATCATCAGCACCACCATCATCACCACCACCATCATCACCATCATCATCAGCACCACCATCATCACCACCATCATCAGCACCACCATCATCATCATCATCAGCACCATCATCATCATCAGTACCACCACCATCATCATCAGCACCACTGTGTCTAATTGCTTCCTCTTCATCTTCTTCTGTGCTATCACTTTGGCATGATGCTGATGATGATGTTGATAAGGATGCTGCTGCTGATGAATATGATGCTGCTGCTGATGCTGCTGATGGTGGTGCTGATGATGATGATGCTGCTACTACTGCTGCTGATGCTGCTGCTGATGCTGCTAATGCTGATGATGCTGCTGATGCTGATGCTGCTGATGATGTTGCTGCTGATGAATATGATGCTGCTGCTGATGAATATGATGCTGCTGATGCTGATGATGCTGATGATGCTGCTGATGCTGTTGATGATGCTGCTGATGATGATGCTGCTGCTGCTGCTGATGATGATGATGCTGCTGCTGATGAATATGATGCTGCTGCTGATGGTGGTGCTGATGATGCTGCTACTACTGCTGCTGATGCTGCTGGTGATGCTGCTGATGCTGATGATGCTGATGATGCTGCTGATGCTGATGCTGAATGCATTCCCGATCATTCCCCAAATCACATTCCCTGCCCCGTGACCACGTGACATATTTTATGTGTTAATTATGATTTATCTGATTATAATCTGGGGTGATTGTGTTCATTATGATTTATCTGATTATGATCTGGGGTGATTGTAAGTGACGATTTTATTTGTCTTCACGATGCATGTCCTTGTTTCATATTGTTGATCGCGTGATTCGATTTTTGTCCCCATTTCAGCACTGATTACGATCCCGATATCGGCGAGATTGTAATCATGATTTCAAACGCGTCTGATTTTGATTGTTATACACATCTGTGATTTTATATGATTTTGATGATATGCTTTTGATTGCATGATTTTGATTACCTGATTTTGATAATATGATTTCGATAACGTGATTTTTTATATATGATTTTGATTGCATGATTTTGATTACCTGATTTCGATTACCTGATTTTGATTATATGATTTGATTCCGTGATTTTTATATGATTTTGATTGCATGATTTTGATTACCTGATTTTGATTATATGATTTTGATTACATGGTTTTCATGACGTGATTTTGATCACGCCATTTAACGATGTGATTTTGATGACGTGACTTTGATTACGTGATTTTGATGACGTGATTCCCGACTGCGTGATTTCGATCGCCCGATTTCGACCTAAACTCCGCCATTCCGACCGTCGCCCGATCATCCACGGCGCGCCTTCACCGCCACCAGTTCCCACCCCGACCATCTGCCGCTTGGTCACCATCATCGTCGTCATCGTCGTCATCGTCGTCATCATCGTCATCATCATCGCAATCAACAATCATCCTCATCACTCATTGGTTCTGTAGGTAAAGTCGAGTGGGTTATACAAATAAAATATCAATAATGTATCAGGACGTGTCGTGATTAATAAAAAATAAACTATCAATAATGTATCAGGACGATCCATGGTTAATAAAAATAAACTATCAATAATGTATCAGGATGTGTCATGATTAATAAAAATAAACTATCAATAATGGATCAGGAAGTTCCGTGATTAATAAAAATAAACTATCAATAATGTATCAGGACGTTTCGTGATTAATAAAAATAAACTATCAATAATGTATCAGGACGTGTCGTGATTAATAAAAAATAAACTATCAATAATGGATCAGGAAGTTTCCGTGGTTTATAAAAATAAACTATCAATAATGTATCAGGAAGTTTCGTGGTTAATAAAAAATAAACTATCAATAATGTATCAGGAAGTTCCGTGTTTAATAAAAAAATAAACTATCAATAATGCATCAGGACGTTCCATGATTAATAAAAATAAACTATCAATAATGTATCAGGACGTGTCGTGATTAATAAAAAATAAACTATCAATAATGGATCAGGAAGTTTCCGTGGTTTATAAAAATAAACTATCAATAATGTATCAGGAAGTTTCGTGGTTAATAAAAAATAAACTATCAATAATGTATCAGGAAGTTCCGTGTTTAATAAAAAAATAAACTATCAATAATGCATCAGGACGTTCCATGATTAATAAAAATAAACTATCAATAATGTATCAGGACGTGTCGTGATTAATAAAAATAAACTATCAATAATGTATCAGGACGTTCCGTGATTAATAAAAATAAGCTATCAATAATGTATCAGGACGTGTCGTGGTTAATAAAAAATAAACTATCAATAATGGATCAGGAAGTTCCGTGGTTAATAAAAATAAACTATCAATAATGTATCAGGATGTGTCGTGGTTAATAAAAAATAAACTATCAATAATGTATCAGGACGTGTCGTGGTTAATAAAAAATAAACTATCAATAATGTATCAGGATGTGTCGTGGTTAATACAAATAAACTATCAATAATGCATCAGGACGTATAAACTATCAATAATGTATCAGGACGTTTAGTGGTTAATACAAATAAACTATCAATAATGGATTAGGACGTTCCGTGGTTAATAAAAATAAACTATCAATAATGCATCAGGACGTGTCGTGATTAATAAAAATAAACTATCAATAATGTATCAGGACGTGTCGTGGCTAATACAAATAAACTATCAATAGTGTATCAGGACGTGTCGTGGTTAATACAAATAAACTATCAATAATGCATCAGGACGTATACACTATCAATAATGTATCAGGACGTTTAGTGGTTAATACAAATAAACTATCAATAATGCATCAGGACGTATAAACTATCAATAATGTATCAGGACGTTTAGTGGTTAATACAAATAAACTATCAATAATGGATTAGGACGTTCCGTGGTTAATACAAATAAACTATCAATAATGCATCAGGACGTGTCGTGATTAATACAAATAAACTATCAATAATGTATCAGGACGTGTCGTGGTTAATACAAATAAACTATCAATAGTGTATCAGGACGTGTCGTGGTTAATACAAATAAACTATCAATAATGCATCAGGACGTATACACTATCAATAATGTATCAGGACGTTTAGTGGTTAATACAAATAAACTATCAATAATGCATCAGGACGTATACACTATCAATAATGTATCAGGAAGTTCCGTGGTTAATACAAATAAACTATCAATAATGCATCAGGACGTATAAACTATCAATAATGTATCAGGACGTTTAGTGGTTAATACAAATAAACTATCAATAATGCATCAGGACGTATAAACTATCAATAATGTATCAGGACGTTTAGTGGTTAATACAAATAAACTATCAATAATGCACCAGGACGTTTGGATCTCAAGAGACGATCATCCTCCTGCCCCCCCCCCCCCCCCCCCCCGACAGTCAAACTTTGACGTTGACGCGACCGTACCCACCAGCCCCCCACCCCAGACCCCCACAACTTACGATTTTGTTTTTTGAGTTTTCCACCCTCCCCTCCATCGCGAGCGAGCGAGCGAGCGGAGCGCCCCCCCAATCTCTGTCTCTACCCCCCACGTGTGGGGTGGGTGGCTCTGAGTGACGGTGTGTCTCGTTCTCGCCGACAACACCGAATCGACCCGACCACCGTCACCAACATCGTCACCACCACCACCAACAACAACAACACCAACAACAACAACACCAACAACAACACCGCACCTCCAGTGTTCGCTATGGAGATCAATCGTGAGTCTCAGGACACGGGGGGTGAGACACGGGGGGTGAGACACGGGGGGTGAGACACGGGGGGGGGGGGTGTGACACGGGGGGGGGGTGAGACACACGGGGGGTGAGACACAGGGGGGGGTGGTGAAGGTGATGATGGTTGTGACGGTGGTGGTGAAGGTGGTGAAGGTGGTGAAGGTGGTGACGATGGTGGTGGCGGTGAAGGTGGTGGTGAAGGTGGTGGTGAAGGTGGTGACGGTGGTGGTGAAGGTGGTGGTGAAGGTGGTGACGATGGTGACGATGGTGAAGGTGGTGACGATGGTGATGGTGGTGATGGTGGTGACTATGGTGACTATGGTGACTGGTGACTATGGTCACTATGGTGACTATGGTGACTATGGTGACTATAGTGACTATAGTGACTATGGTGACTATAGTGACTATGGTGACTATGGTGATGGTGACTATGGTGACTATGGTGACTATGGTGACTATAGTGACTATGGTGACTATGGTGACTATGGTGATGGTGACTATGGTGACTATAGTGACTATGGTGACTATAGTGACTAAGGTGACTATGGTGACTATGGTGACTATGGTGATGGTGACTATGGTGACTATAGTGACTATAGTGACTATGGTGACTATAGTGATTATGGTGACTATGGTGATGGTGACTATGGTGACTATAGTGACGGTGGTGACGATGCTGACGGTGGTGAGGGCGGTGACTATGGTGACTATGGTGACTATGGTCACTATGGTGACTATGGTGACTATGGTGACTATAGTGACTATGGTGACTATGATTACTATGGTGACTATGGTGACTATGGTGACTGTGGTGACTATGGTGACTATGGTGACTATAGTGACTATGGTGACTGTGGTGACTGTGGTGACTATGGTGACGATGGTGATGGTGGTGACTATGGTGACTATGGTGACTATAGTGACTATGGTGACTATGGTGACTATAGTGACTATGATCACTATAGTGACTATGGTGACTACGGTGACTATGGTGACTATGATCACTATAGTGACTATGGTGACTACGGTGACTATGGTGACTATGGTGACTATGGTGACTGTGGTGACTATAGTGACTATGGTGACTATGGTGACTATGGTGACGATGGTGATTATGGTGACTATAGTGACTATGGTGACTATGGTGACGATGGTGATTATGGTGACTATGGTGACTATGGTGACTATGGTGATGGTGGTGACTATGGTGACTATGGTGACTATGGTGATGGTGGTGACTATGGTGACGATGGTGATGGTGGTGACTATGGTGACTATGGTGATTATGGTGACTATGCTGACTATGGTGACGATGGTGACTATGGTGACTATAGTGACTATGGTGACTATGGTGACTATGGTGACTATGGTGATGGTGACTATGGTGACTACGGTGACTATGGTGACTATGGTGACTATAGTGACTATGATCACTATAGTGACTATGGTGACTATGGTGACTATGGTGACTATAGTGACTATGGTGACTATGGTCACTATGGTGACTATGGTGACGGTGGTGACTATGGTGACTATGGTGACTATGGTGATGGTGACTATGGTGACTATGGTGACTATGGTGACTATGGTGACGGTGGTGACGGTGGTGACTATGGTGACTATGGTCACTATGGTGACTATGGTGACTATGATCACTATGGTGACTATGGTGACTATGGTGACTATGGTGACTATGATCACTATGGTGACTATGGTGACTATGGTAACTATGGTGACTATGGTGACTATGGTGACTACGGTGATGCTGGTGACTATGGTGATGCTGGTGACTATGGTGACTGTGGTGACTATGGTGACTATTATCACTACGGTGACTATGGTGACTATGGTGACTACGGTGACTATGGTGACTATGGTGACTATGGTGACTATGATCACTATGGTGACTATGGTGACTATAGTGACTATGGTGACTATGGTGACTGATCACTATGGTGACTATGGTGACTATGGTGACTGGTGACTATGGTCACTATGGTGACTATGGTGACTATAGTGACTATGGTGACTATAGTGACTATGGTGACTGTGGTGATGGTGGTGACTCTGGTGACTATGGTGACTATGGTGACTATAGTGACTATAGTGACTATGGTGACTATAGTGATTATGGTGACTATGGTGATGGTGACTATGGTGACTATAGTGACGGTGGTGACGATGCTGACGGTGGTGAGGGCGGTGACTATGGTGACTATGGTGACTGTGGTGATGGTGACTATGGTGACTATGGTGACTGTGGTGATGGTGACTATGGTGACTATGGTGACTATGGTGACGATGGTGATGGTGGTGACTATGGTGACTATAGTGACTATGGTGACTATGGTGATGGTGACTATGGTGACTACGGTGACTATGGTGACTATGGTGACTATGGTGACTATGATCACTATAGTGACTATGATCACTATAGTGACTATGGTGACTATGGTGACGGTGGTGACTATGGTGACTATAGTGACTATGGTGACTATAGTTACTATGGTGACTACGGTGACTATGGTGACTATGGTGACTATGGTGACTATAGTGACTATGGTGACTGTGGTGACTATGGTGACTATAGTGACTATGGTGACTATGGTGACTATGGTGACTATGATGACTATGGTGACTATGGTGACTATAGTGACTATGGTGACTGTGGTGACTGTGGTGACTGTGGTGACTATGGTGACTATGGTGACTATGGTGACTATGGTGACTATGATCACTATGGTGACTATGGTGACTATGGTCACTATGGTGACTATGGTGACTATGGTGACTGTGATCACTATGGTGACTATGGTCACTATGATCACTATGGTGATGGCGGTGACTATGGTGACTATGGTGACTATGGTGAAGGTGGTGACTATGGTGACTATAGTGACTATGGTGACTATGGTGACTATGGTGACTATGATCACTATGGTGACTATGGTGACTATAGTGACTATAGTGACTATGGTGACTATGGTGACTATGGTGACGGTGGTGACTATGGTGACTATGGTGACTATAGTGACTATGGTGACTATGGTGACTACGGTGACTATGATCACTATGATGACTATGGTGACTATGGTGATGGTGGTTACTATGGTGACTATGGTGACTATAGTGACTATGGTGATGGTGGTGACTATGGTGACTATAGTGACTATGGTGACTGTGGTGACTATGGTGACGATGGTGGTGACTATGGTGACTATGGTGACTATGGTGACTATGGTGATGGTGGTGACTATAGTGACTATGGTGACTACGGTGACTATGGTGACTATGGTGACTATGATCACTATGGTGACTATGGTGACTATGGTGACTATAGTGACTGGTGACTATGGTGACTATGATCACTATGATCACTATGGTGACTATGGTGACTATGGTGACTATGATCACTATGGTGACTATGGTGACTATGATCACTATGATCACTATGGTGACTATGGTGACTATCATCACTATGGTGACTATGGTGACTATAGTGACTATGGTGACTATAGTGACTATGGTGACTATAGTGACTATGGTGACTATGGTGACTATGGTGACTATAGTGACTATGGTGATGATGGTGATGACTATGGTGACTATAGTGACTATGGTGACTATAGTGACTATGGTGACTATGATCACTATGGTGACTATGGTGACTATTATCACTATGGTGACTATGATCACTACGGTGACTATTATCACTATGGTGACTATGATCACTATGATCACTACGATCACTATGATCACTACGGTGACTATGATCACTATGGTGACTATGATCACTATGATCACTATGGTGACTATGATCACTATGATCACTATGGTGACTATGATCACTATGGTGACTATGGTGACTATGATCACTATGGTGACTATGGTGACTATGATCACTATGGTGACTATGATCACTATGATCACTACGATCACTATTATCACTATGGTGACTATGGTGACTATGATCACTACGATCACTATGGTGACTACGATCACTACGATCACTACGATCACTACGATCACTACGGTGACTATGATCACTACGATCACTACGATCACTATGATCACTACGGTGACTACGATCACTACGATCACTACGGTGACTACGATCACTACGATCACTACGGTGACTACGGCGATGCTCCCACAGCGCCGTGTGGCGACAATCTCTACGATGACGACGGTAAGAGAATGCCGCGGTGCATCCCCGGAGCTTGGATCACGCCGGCCATCATGGCCTGCTACCTCCTCGTCGCGAACATCCTCCTCGTCAACCTCCTCATCGCCGTCTTCAAGTGAGGAGACATCGCCAGCATCATCACCGCCGTCACCGCCATCGTCATCACCACCACCACCACCATCACCACCATCACCATCATCACCATCGTCACCGCCATCACCACCATCACCACCATCACCATCATCACCATCACCACCACCACCATCACCACCATCACCACCGCCATCACCACCGTCACCACCACCATCACCACTACCACCATCACCATCACCACCATCGTCACCGCCATCACCTTCATCATCACCATCACCACCATCACCATCATCACCATCACCACCATCACCATCATCACCATCGTCACCATCACCACCATCACCGCCGTCACCATCGTCACCGCCATCACCACCGTCATCACCATCACCACCGTCACCATCACCACCGCCATCACGACCACTCAATCACTCCCCCACCCACTCCCCCACCCACTCACTCCCCCACCCACTCACCCACTCACTCACCCACTCACCCACCCACTTACCCACTCACTCACCCATTCACCCACTCACTCACTCACCCACCACTCACTCACTCTCTCACCCACTCCCCCACCCACTTCCCCACCCACTCCCCCACCCACTCACTCACCCTTTCACACACTCACTCCCCCACCCACCCACTCACCCACTCCCCCACCCACTCACTCACTCACCCACCCACTCACTCACTCACCCACCCACTCACCCACTCCCCCACCCACTCACTCACTCACTCACCCATTCACCCACTCACTCACTCACCCACCCACTCACCCACTCTCTCACCCACTCACTCACCCTCTCACCCACTCACTCACCCACCCACTCACCCACTCACTCACCCATTCACCCACTCACTCACTCACTCTCTCACCCACTCACTCACCCACTCACTCACTCACTCACTCCCCCACCCACTCCCCCACCCACTCCCCCACCCACTCACTCACCCACTCACCCACTCACTCACTCACCCACTCACCCACTCACTCACTCCCCCACCCACCCACTCACCCACTCCCCCACCCACTCACTCACCCACCCACTCACCCACTCCCCCACCCACTCACCCACTCACTCACCCACCCACTCACCCACTCTCCCACCCACTCACTCACTCACTCACCCACTCACTCACTCACCCATTCACCCACTCACTCACTCCCCCACCCACTCCCCCACTCACCCACTCACTCACTCACCCACCCACTCACTCACTCACCCACTCACTCACTCACTCACCCACCCACTCACCCACTCACTCCCCCTCCCTCCCCTCTCCCTCCCCCTCCCCCCACAGCAACACCTTCTTCGAGGTGAAATCCATCTCGAACCAGGTGTGGAAGTTCCAACGCTACCAGCTGATCATGACCTTCCACGAGCGTCCCGTGCTCCCACCACCTCTCATCATTCTCTCCCACCTGAGCCTCCTCGCCAAGTACCTCTGCTGCCGTCTCAGGCGTCACCACGATGGAGGTGGTGGTGGTGGCGGCGGTGGCGGTGGTGGTGGGAGTCGTGCAGGAGCAGGAGGTAGTTGAGTGTGTTGGTGAGGGTGTGGGTGAGTGGGTGGGTTGGTGAGTGAGTGGGTGAGTGGGTAGGTTGGTGGGTGGGTGGGTGAGTGGGTGAGTGGGTGGGGGAGTGAGTGGGTGGGGGAGTGAGTGAGTGGGGGAGTGAGTGGGTGAGTGAGTGAGTGTGTGAGTGAGTGGATGGGTGAGTGGGTGAGTGGGTGAGTGGGTGGGTGGGTGAGTGGGTGAGTGAGTGGGTGGGGGGGTGAGTGGGTGAGTGCGTGAGTGAGTGAGTGAGTGGGTGAGTGGGTGAGTGAGTGGGTGAGTGGGTGGCTGGGTGGGGGAGTGGGGGAGTGAGTGGGTGGGTGGGGGAGTGGGTGGGTGAGTGGGTGGGTGAGTGAGTGAGTGGGGGAGTGGGTGGGTGAGTGGGTGAGTGAGTGAGTGGGGGAGTGGGTGGGTGAGTGAGTGGGTGAGTGGGTGGGGGAGTGAGTGGGTGGGTGAGTGAGTGGGTGAGTGATTGAGTGAGTGGGGGAGTGGGTGAGTGTGTGTGGGTGAGTGGGTGAGTAGGTGAGTGAGTGAGTGGGGGAGTGGGTGAGTGAGTGAGTGGGTGGGGGAGTGAGTGGGTGAGTGGGTGGGTGAGTGAGTGAGTGGGGGAGTGGGTGAGTGGGGGAGTGAGTGGGTGAGTGGGTGAGTGAGTGAGTGGGTGAGTGGGTGAGTGGGGGAGTGAGTGGGTGAGTGGGTGAGTGGGTGAGTGGGTGAGTGAGTGAGTAAGTGGGTGAGTGAGTGAGTGGGTGAGTGGGTGAGTGGGTGAGTGGGTGAGTGAGTGAGTGGGTGAGTGGGTGAGTGGGGGGAGTGGGTGAGAGGGGGAGTGGGGGAGTGAGTGGGTGAGTGGGTGAGTGGGTGAGTGCGTGAGTGGGTGAGTGGGTGAGTGGGGGAGTGGGTGAGAGGGGGAGTGGGGGAGTGAGTGGGTGAGTGGGTGAGTGAGTGAGTGTGGGGGAGTGAGTGGGTGAGTGTGTGGGGGAGTGAGTGGTTGAGTGAGTGAGTGAGTGGGTGAGTGAGTGGGTGAGTGAGTGAGTGAGTGGGTGAGTGAATGAGTGAGTGGGTGCGTGAGTGAGTGAGTGGGTGAGTGAGTGGGTGAGTGAGTGGGTGAGTGGGGGAGTGAGTGGGTGAGTGAGCGAGTGGGTGAGTGTGTAAGCGAGTGAGTGTGTATGGGTGAGTGTGTGGGTGGGTGAGTGTGTGGGTGGGTGAGTATGTGTGGGTGAGTGAGTGAGTGTGGGTGGGTGAGTGTGTGTGGGTGAGTGTGCGTGGGTGGGTGAGTGTGTATGTGGGTGAGTGTGGGTGGGTAAGTGTGGGTGGGTGAGTGTGTGTGTGGGTGAGTGTCTGTGGGTGGGTGAGTGTGTGTGGGTGGGTGAGTGTGTGGGTGAGTGTGTGTGTGGGTGAGTGTGGGTGAGTGTGTGTGTGGGTGTGTGTGTGTGGGTGTGTGTGTGTGCGTGGGTGAGTGTGTGTGGGTGAGTGTTTGTGGGTGAGTGAGTTTGAGTTGGCGTGTGTATGTGTGTGGGTGAGTTTGAGTGGGTGGGTGAGTGTTTGTGGGTGAGTGTGTGTGTGGATGAGTGTGTGTGTGGGTGAGTGTCTGTGTGGGTGAGTGTGTGTGTGTGGGTGAGTGTGTGTGGCTGTGTGTGTGTGGGTGAGTGTGTGTGGGTGAGTGTATGTGTGGGTGAGTGTATGTGTGTGTGGGTGAGTGTGTGTGGGTGAGTGTGTGTGTGTGGGTGAGTGTGTGTGGCTGTATGTGTGTGGGTGAGTGTGTGTGTGGGTGAGTGTGGGTGGGTGGGTGAGTGTGGGTGGGTGGGTGAGTGTGTGGGTGATTGAGTGTGTGTGAGTGTGGGTGGGTGAGTGTGTGAGTGGGTGAGTGTGTGGGTGGGTGAGTGTGGGTGAGTGGGTGAGTGTGTGTGGGTGAGTGTGTGGGTGGGTGAGTGTGGGTGAGTGGGTGAGTGTGTGTGGGTGAGTGTGTGGGTGTGTGTGCGTGGGTGAATGTGCGTGGGTGAGCGTGTGTGGGTGAGTGTGTGGGTGGGTGTGTGTGCGTGGGTGAATGTGCGTGGGTGAGTGTGTGTGGGTGAGTGTGTGGGTGGGTGAGTGTGGGTGAGTGGGTGAGTGTGTGTGGGTGAGTGTGTGCGTGTGGGTGTGTGTGCGTGGGTGAATGTGCGTGGGTGAGCGTGTGTGGGTGAGTGTGCGTGGGTGAGTGTGTGTGGGTGAGTGTGCATGGGTGGGTGAGTGTGTGTGTGGGTGAGTGTGTGTGTGGGTGAGTGAGTGTGGGTGAGTGTGTGTGGGTGAATGTGTGGGTGGGTGAGTGTGTGGGTGGGTGAGTGTGTGGGTGGGTGAATGTGTGGGTGGGTGAATGCGTGGGTAGTGTGTGTGTGGGTGAGTGTGCGTGGGTGACTGTGTGTGTGGGTGAGTGAGTGTGTGGGTGGGTGAGCGTGTGGGTGGGTGAGTGTGTGTGTGTGGGTGAGTATGGGTGGGTGAGTGTGTGGGTGGGCGAGTCTGCGTGGGTGAGTGTGGGTGGGTGAGTGTATGTCTGTGGGTGAGTGTGAGTGTGGGTGAGTGTGAGTGTGGGTGAGTGTGAGTGTGGGTGAGTGTGAGTGTGGGTGAGTGTGTGTGTGGGTGAGTGTGTGTGTGTGGGTGAGTGTGTGTGTGGGTGAGCGTGCGTGGGTGAGTTTGTGTGGGTGAGTGTGTGGGTGAGTGTGTGGGTGAATGAGTGTGTGTGGGTGATTGTGTGTGTGTGGGTGAGTGTGTGTGTGGGTGAGCGTGCGTGGGTGAGTGTGAGTGTGGGTGAGCGTGCGTGGGTGAGTGTGGGTGGGTGAGTGTGTGGGTGAGTGAGTGTGTGTGTGTGGGTGAGTGTGTGTGTGTGGGTGAGTGTGTGTGGGTGAGTGTGTGTGGGTGTGTATGTGGGTGAGTGTGTGTGTGGGTGAGTGTGTGTGGGTGAGTGTGCGTGGGTGAGTGTGTGTTTAGGTGAGTGTGCGTGGGTCAGTGTGCGTGGGTGAGTGTGCGTGGGTGAGTGTGGGTGAGTGTGGGTGGGTGTGTGGGTGAGTGTGGGTGGGTGAGTGTGTGTGTGGGTGTCTGGGTGTGTGAGTGTGTGTGGGTGAGTGTGTGTGTGGGTGAATGTGCGTGGGTGAGTGTGTGTATATGTCGGGTCCGGCAAAACAACCCCCTACCTCCTCGCGGTGCCGGACGGGCAACTCTGTCGTGGACAGTGCTGTGGGGGGAGCGCCAATTCTGATTGGCTCCTCCCCTCATGGCGTCTGTGTCCACCACAGTGGCTAAACGGGGGCTCTGGACGGGTGCGAGGGGCTGGTAACCCCTCCACCTTCAATTAATTACCACTAAACCACGAGTTAAACTGAAATATGTAACTAATAAGCTTGTGCCGGAGGCCCCGGGGGGCCAGGCGTCTATGACGTCTCCTGGCCAAACCCCAATTGGCGGAGCCAGGAGTCTGAATCTTTACCCTCGGGGCTCCTCCAGAAACAACGAAAAGCCACTTCGTGTGGCCACGTGGAATGTTCGAACGCTCACTGCGGAGGAGAGGCTGCCACTGCTCTGTCGAGAGCTGTACCGGTACCGCCTGGATCTCTGTGGTATTCATGCCATCATGAGGGGTGGACAGTCTGCTCCACGGGGCAGCAGACTGCCAAACAACAGCGAGTGGCTCTTCTTTTGAACAAAAGAATGAAGGGGGTGAGGGAGCGTGGCGGTGAGGTGGGGGAAGCTGTAAGCCCCAGGCTACTTTGGGCTCGCCTTCCCATCAACCGGAGGCGAGGAGTGATGGTCATTGTTACTTATACCCCCACCGAAGACGAACATCTGTGGAGGGATGCAGGCAAGGCCGATGAGTCAGATGCCTTCCATGACCTCCTGTCACAGGTGCTGGCTAAAGTGGCCCCTCGAGATAGAGTCATCTTGTTGGGGTGACTTCAATGCCCGAGTTGGTCATGATGCTGGCAGCTGGTCTGGAGAGATTGGAGGGCATGGGCCAGATCAGCTCAATAACAACGGGAGGAGGCTGCTAGAGTTTTGTGCAGCCCATGGGCTTGTAATTACCAACACGCTGTTACAGCATCGGCGCATCCACACAACATCATGGATGTATGCCTGGTCCAAGCAAGAACATCTGCTGGACTACATAGTGACTGAACAGCGGACGCGAGCCCATGTCCTTGACACCAGGACCTACCGTGGAGCTGATCTGCCCACTGACCATCGACTTGTCATCTGTAGTATGCGCCTGCCATTCTTCCACTCCAGTGGTGGGTGTACACCCAGGACCCCATTCAAACCCATATTGACCTGGTCTCAGCTAGCTGATGAAAGTTGCAAGCGAGAATTTCATCATCGCTTGTGGCTGGGGTTGTCATCGTCCCCGACTCCTCCTGATGTCGAAGGTAAATGGGCGAGGTTTAGGACTGTGACTCATGCAGCTGCAATGGCTGCTATGGGTACACGGTCCAGACCTCCCCAGAGACCCTGGCTGACGGAGGAGGTGTTCAGACTGGCTGAAAAAAGTGACAGGCCCACTCTCATCGGCTACAGCATCCCACGTCAGAGAAATGAGGAGGCTTACCGCAGCCTTCGCTCGGAGGTTCGGAGATCCGTGAGGCGCTGCAAGGATGGGTGGTGGTCGCGGGTTGCTGAGTAGATGGAGTCTGCCTCAATGGCCCGCGATCACAAATCTCTATTTAACTCCATCAAAAAAAGTAACCTGCAGCACCACACCTATTTACCATAATTAGGGGAAAAACGGTGATCCAATCTCCGACCCCCAGGAACAGATTTGTAGATTTGCTGAGCGTTTCAGTGAGGTCCTGGGGGAGGGGAAAGCCCTCAGCCAGGAAAACATCGTGGTACAAAGTGGGGATGACCCTGCTGAGGCTGCGGTGCCTCAAATATTGGAAAAAGAAGTCACCCCCTGTGAGTGGCTGGCTGAAGTGTCATTTGTTGAGGAAGTACTGAAGGCGATCCAGAGTCTTAGACCAGGAAAGGCACCGGGCAGAGATGATCTCCCAAGCGAAATGCTGAGGGAGGGTGGCGTTTGTGCACAGACTGCCCTATATGACATCATAACAACAGTCTGGACCACTGGACGGGTTCCACAGGATTGGAAGGATGCCCTGGTGGTCCCCCTCTTTAAGAAGGGGGACCGCACAGACTGTAACAACTACAGGGACATCTCACTCCTCAGTGTGCTGGGAAAGGTTCTGGCAAGGATTCAATATCGCCTTGCCAGTCTTGCTGAGGAGAGGCTTGTGGAGCCCCAATGCGGTTTCAGGAAAGGGCGGTCCTGCACAGATGTCATATTTTCTGTCCGTCTGCTACAGCAGAGGTGTAGGGAATTCCAGCAAGACCTACATCTCTGCTTTATTGACCTGGTCAAGGCCTATGATGCCATCAGTAGGCCTGGGCTCTGGGTTGTTCTTCGTGCTTTCAGAGTCCCTGACCCTCTGCTCACGATCATTAAGGACCTTCATGATGGTGAGCGGGCCTGGGTAAAACTACGTGGCCGGGAGTCGGAGCCATTCCCTGTTCACCTTGGGGTGCGACAGGGATGTCCGCTGACTCCCACATTATTTAACATCTATTTCAACCACGTAGTTCGTGAAGCCTTCGATGGCTGTACCGGAGTAATTTCCATCTGGTACAGATACAATGGGAGGCTGATCGATGCCCAGGTGCGGTCAAGGGATGGCTCCTTGCTCAACCATGTTATGTATGCTGATGATTTGGTAATAGCTGCTCATTCAGAGGAGGAGTTGGAGACGCTGCTGCTGAGACTGGAGCTTGCCACTAAGAGGTGGGGCCTTACCATCAGCCCCACCAAAACTAAGCACCTGCCTGGGTATTTTGAACCATCGGACACTCCATCCCCACAACTCCCAATCGTTGATGGGGCAGTTGTGGAGAGTTTCCCATACCTGGGGGAAGTGTGCTCATGACCGGCTCCAGTTTAACGGCAGAGGTCTCACTCCGAATCAGTCGGGCGGCAATATCTTTTCATCGGCCGCGTAACGCTGTGTGTGGGAAGCTGCCCAGTCTGTCGCTCCGCACTAAGCTTCGGGTCTTCTCGGCCACGGTCAAAGGCCTCCCTTCTCCCACGCTTGCGATAACGGAGCATCGTCGCCGGTTAGAAATATTGAGGCAGGGCCCTTCCTCCGATCCGTCCCGGGGGTCTTAGCCATCAGCATGGGGGTCTTGCGAGGAGCTCGCGAATCCCCTCGAAAGATCCGGACGATAAAAGTCCCATCGGTGAGCTCCTCCGGCGGGCGGGCGAGGCCGCGTTGGCTGGGCCACGCAGCTTCCGTTTGGCCCGACGGAGGAAGCAGAGGTGCCGGATTATACCGTCGTGCAATAGACGGACCCTCCCCACAACCTCCCTCCCCCGTCCACGGAGGACCCTCTGGACTGGCGCCTTTTTGCCGAGCGGAATGTCCGCCTCCGGGCACGCCCGCCTTGCCGGCGGCGCGAACGGAGGAGACGCGGCCCGCTTTCGAGGAGAGGTCGAGCGGCGGATGCAGCGGCCATCGAGAGCCCCGAGGCTCACCCACAGCGGCCATCGAGAGCCCTCCTGCTTCCGCTTAGATACTGCGTCTTGATGCGCCTGTTGTTGCGGAGTGTGTGTTTTGGTGGTTGGTGCACTTCGTTTGCGTGGGTTTATCGTTGATGATTCGGTCACGGGTGTGTGTGTGTGTGTGTCTCCTGCTGAGCGCTGTTACGTTGCAATTGTGGCTTTAGCGTTTTTGGTGATTTGGAATGATAATAATAATAAAAATATATAAAACGGTAAAATTGTTGTAAAACAATAAGATTGTTATTCTTGGTTCTTCCGGTAAAGTCACCACCACCACGTAGAAGGGAAACAATGAAATAATACAAATATAAAACAATAAAATTATTGTAAAACAATAAAATTGTTATTCTTGGTTCTTCCGGTAAAGTCACCACATAGAAGGGAAACAATAGAATAATAAAAATATAAAACAATAAAATTATTGTAAAACAATAAAATTATTATTCTTGGTTCATTGGGTAAAGTCACCACCATGTAGAAGGGAAACAATAAAATAATAAAAATATAAAACAATAAAATTATTGTAAAACAATAAAATTGTTATTCTTTGTTCTTCCGGTAAAGTCACCACCACGTAGAAGGGAAACAATAGAATAATAAAAATATAAAACAATAAAATTATTGTAAAACAATAAAATTGTTATGCTTGGTTCTTCCGGTAAAGGCACCACCACGTAGAAGGGAAACAATAAAATAATAAAAATATAAAACAATAAAATTCTCACGACGTTTCGACTGCAACACAAAGCAGCAATCATCATCAGGTGGTGAAAACCACAGCAAGAAAATGTTCTTGCTGTGGTTCTTGCTGTGGTTTTCACCACCTGATGATGATTGCTTGTGTTGTGTTGCAGTCGAAACGTCGTGAGAATTTTATTGTTTTATATTTTTATTATTTTATTGTTTCTCTTCTACGTGGTGGTGACTTTACCGAAAGAACCAAGAATAACAATTTTATTGTTTTACAATAATTTTATTGTTTTATATTTTTATTATTTTATTGTTTCCCTTTTACGTGGTGGTGGTGACTTTACCGAAAGAACCAAGAATAATAATTTTATTGTTTTATATTTTTATTGTTTTATTGTTTCCCTTCTACGTGGTGGTGACTTTACCGAAAGAACCAAGAATAATAATTTTATTGTTTTACAATACTTTTATTGTTTTATATTTTTATTATTTTATTGTTTCCCTTCTACGTGGTGGTGAATTTACCTAAAGAACCAATAATAATTTTATTGTTTTACAATAATTGTATTGTTTTATATTTTTATTATTTTATTGTTTCCCTTCTACGTAGTGGTGACTTTACCGAAAGAACCAAGAATAATTTTATTGTTTTATATTAATTGGATTGTTTTATATTTTTATTATTTTATTGTTTCTCTTCTACGTGGTGACTTTACCGAAAGAACCAAGAATAATAATTTTATTGTTTTACAATAATGTTATTGTTTCATATTTTTATTATTTTATTGTTTCCCTTCTACGTGGTGGTGACTTTACCGAAAGAACCAAGAATAATAATTTTATTGTTTTACAATAATTGTATTGTTTTATATTTTTATTATTTTATTGTTTCCCTTCTACGTGGTGGTGACTTTACCGAAAGAACCAAGAATAATAATTTTATTGTTTTACAATAATTGTATTGTTTTATATTTTTATTATTTTATTGTTTCCCTTCTACGTGGTGGTGATTTTACCGGAAGAACCAATAATAATAATTTTATTGTTTTACAATGATGTTATTGTTTTATATTTTTATTATTTTATTGTTTCCCTTCTACTTGGTGGTGACTTTACCGAAAGAACCAAGAATATGAATCCCTGCAGTCACGAAAGCTTTAACTCAAAATCTATCATTGTTATTTGTGTGCAGCTGATCATCACGGTGATGATGGTGATGATGATGATCGTGATGATGATTACGACGACGATCACCGTGATGATGGCGATGACGGTGATCGCGGTGATGACCACGATCGTGATGATGACGATGATGGAGATGATGATCGAGATGATGGTGGTGATGATTGTGATCATGATCGCGGTGATGATGATGCTGATGATCACGATGATGATGATGTCTTTGTGTTAGCAGGAGGAGGAAGAGGAGGAGCAGCAGGAGCCGAAACGGACGATCGCGAAGGAGCTCTGAGTGAGTCAACGATTCCACCGCTGATGATGATGATGCCGCTTGCCACTGCTGCTGATGCTGCCACTGCTGATGCTGATGCTAGTATTACTACTACTACTGCTACTACTACTACTGCTGCTGCTACTACTACTGCTACTACTGCTGCTGCTATTACTACTACTGCTACTACTATTACTGCTGCTACTACTATTACTGCTGCTACTACTACTACTGCTGCTGCTACTACTACTGCTACTACTGCTGCTGCTATTACTACTACTGCTACTACTATTACTGCTGCTACTACTATTACTGCTGCTACTACTACTACTACAGCTACTACTACTACTGCTACTACTACTATTATTGCTG